TAAACAAACTACTAAGAACCTGAAAAACAATGGGGAGTATATATTAAACAAACTACTAAGAACCTGAAAAACAATGGGGAGTATATATTAAACAAACTACTAAGAACCTGAAAACAATGGTAATTATATATTAAACGAACTAATAAGAGCCTAAAGCCAACGGCGATTATGTAGTAAACAAAACAATAAGAACCTGAAAAACAATGGGGAGTATATATCAAACAAACTACTAAGAACCTGAAAAACAATGGGGAGTATATATTAAACAAACTACTAAGAACCTGAAAAACAATGGAAAGTATATATTAAACAAACTAATAAGAACCTAAAAACCAATGGCGAGTATAAAGTAAACAAAGTAATATGCATGTATCAGTTACGTTAATTTTAGAATCTAAGGGAAAGAGCTCGTAACATAATAGTAATATCGCACCTTAGATGAGTTTTGTTTTAAATCCATACCCCAAAAAATAATTGCATCGCATATATATTAATTGAGGTATCACCGTGGAAATACAACGTTTATCAGACTTAAACTATGCTTCTTATGAAATTTAAACTAAATCTTCTTGGTTTTTAAATTAGAATAAGATGATATTATTGATTAATCCTCAACGTCCCCGAATTTTGAAACCCAAAATACAACGTGGAAATACAACGTTTATCAGGGCTTAAACTATGCTTCTTATGAAATTTAAACTAAATCTTCTTGGTTTTTCAATTAGAATAAGATGATATTATTGATTAACCCTAAACGTCCCCGAATTTTGAAACCCAATTTCTAGGAAAATAATTGATGAAACATATGAGTAAAAAATATATAAGATAATGGTCTAAACACAAACGTAAAGAAGATTTAAAAGTATGATTATAAGCAGAAGAATAAATACAGTCTGACAGAAATGTTTATATTACTGTGGTTATGTGTACGAATAACATAATTAAATCCGACACTGAGTAGAACTATTAAAAATAAATAAATAATTAATATATTATCTCCAAATTCAAATAATTTAATGAATCACCTAATTTTATCATTAACTATTATGGTATGTAAATATTCGCTCGTGCATAAATCAACTATACTGTCTAATAGGTCTAAAATTTGTAACAAAAGTCACGATAATTTCAAATGTTTTTAACCGTATTCCTCTTAATCTGTTCATTTCGGACGCCCTCCAGTGGCACAGTGGTATGTCTGCGGACTTATACCGCTAGAAATCGGGTTTTGATACCCGTGGTTGGCAGAGCACAGATAGCCCTTTGTGTAGCTTTGTGCTTAATAACAAAAAAAAATAATAATAATTTCGGGCCCGAAAGCAGAGGCATGTAAAAGTAACTTTTTTTATCTATCTTTTTCCTCCCACAAGCCATTGCCGAAGAGATTCTTCGCGTTATACTAGAACTCGTCAATTAGGCTGGTCAGTGAGAGACAAAAAGACTCTCACAGAC